TACGAGACATCATCTACTCAAAAGTCAACCTTCTCATTATTGTGAATGAAATTGAATTTACTGCAGATGACAAAAATGGCTTTGTTGTCTTTGAGAATGTGTCCAATATGACAATAACTGGTCAACAAAATGGCAGTTTGATTACATGCTCCCCACAGTGTAGCTTTGGCCTCCATTTCAAGAATGCAACCAATGTCACATTGGCTGGACTTAGAATCAGGTATTGCAGCTCTTTCATTCCAAACTACATGGTTGATATCCTGAATAAAAAATATACAAACTTCAATCAAAGTACTATAGTCATTGAGTCAGTGAAACACTTAACTCTCTCAGGAGTTGATATTGAATACTCTCCAGAGTTTGCATTGATTCTAATCGACATTAATGCAAAAGAATATTCTAAGGACCCATCATTTTTCAACCTTAGGCTAAGTGGCTGCACCATCTCTCACAATGCAGAAGGGTCTTTGATTTTACGTGGAAAAATATCTGTCCTTGTTGAGAGAACTATGATTGCCCACAGCTATAGTGCAATAAACGCAGTCAATGTTAACATGTTAATTAAGAATGTTGATGTCATTCAATGCACTATTTCGGAACTAAGTGAAGGAGGGACTGTGATTATAAGAGAGATGCTGACAATTAGTAACAGCGCAATAAAAATATACGCAGTGACACGTGTGTATATCCGAGGGAGTAGAGTCCTTTTCTTTGGTGACGGTCCAACATATTGGTCCTACTCGGCACTTGACATCACTTTTACCAAGTTATTGATTGAACAAAACTCTGAAGTTGTGTTCACAGGGATAAACCTAGGCGGCCTGTTTAACATTGTGGGGTGTTACATCACAATTAATAATTCCACCATGGCTATTACAGAAAACAGTTTAACAAACGGGTGTGACATCAGTCATAGCCACTTTTATATTATTAATGGATCTTCTCTAGTTGCTACAAAGAACTCAGCTATAGACTTAAAAGTTAGTAGTGGGATATTCTTTTTACAGTGCACATTGATAATGACACCTGATTCGTATATATCAATGACTGAGTGTGATGGTACTGCAATCTTCTAACCGTTTTTTCAAATGCAACCTTAGATGGACCGGTACTAATGGCAAACAACACTTTCCCTCATGATGGTTATGGAAATATGAACATAGTAGGTTCAACAGTGGATTTCCTAGGAACACTGGAAGTGGTTGGGAACAGGGCAGGGAGTGGGGCAATAAATGCAGTCGACAGCGAACTTTTTTTCAGAAACACAACAATGTTTGCAGATAATTACGGCGTTAACGGAGGTGCATTGGCACTCACTTCATCATACTTACATATTGCCCCTAATACAACCGTTGAGTTCACCAGAAACGAAGCAAAGTTGTTAGGTGGAGCAATATACATCACCAAACCAAGAACAGTACATATTTGTGATTCACTCACAAGCACAACTGTAAAATGCTCAATTCAAGGCAAACTTGGAAATGACCTCTCTGTGTGCTACACGTACTCAATTACTTTCAACCACAACATAGCAGGTATTGCTGGTAATGCCATATATGGAGGTCGAACATCAGCATGTATGCCTTTCACCAGTAAAGGTATTTGCACTTTATGTTCGCACCCAAAACACTTAGAGCTTTTTTATTACGTTGGAGTGAATGATTCATCAGACTTATCTGACTTCACCTCTGACCCAACGAGAGTATGTTTGTGTGAGAATGGCATTCCAGACTGCTACAAGGTTGTTAGTGACATCACAGCTTATCCTGGAGAGCACTTTGAACTCTCTGTAGTGACAGTGGGCTATGGTCTAGGAACAGTCCCAGGATCAGTTATTGCCATGGGAGGAGTAAATGGAGAGAATGTGCCTCAACAGAGCTTGTTAGGGAGTGAGCTAGAATACTCCCAAGACATTAAAGGGAGAGAATGTCAGGTTATTGGGTACTCAGTTCTATCTGAAAGAGAGAGAGAAGAGATATCACTTGCAGTCAATTTTAACTGGTTAGAGAAGCCGGTGAAGGAAGTTTTGTCAATAGTTTTGCAATATTCAAGCAATGGTTCTATCATTTACCCAACATTAGATAGCTTCTTTTACATCCCGGTGTTTGTGAATGTCAACCTTTTGCCATGTCCAGTCGGTTTCCAACTGGTGACAGGAAAATGCGTTTGCAACCAGGTATTGCAGAACAACAACATACATACATGTTCCATCCTCCATGGAACAGCTTTCATCCTCAGACCAGCTCCCTACTGGATCGGACTTTACAATGACACAAACTCTTCTGTCCTTGTCCATCCTCACTGTCCTTTTGATTACTGCAAATCAAAAGACATCAATATCTCAGCAGAGTCTTCTGATGCTCAGTGCCAGTACCAGCGATCGGGAGTCCTCTGTGGCAGTTGTCGTGAAGGCCTAAGCATGATCCTGGGATCCTCAGAATGTAAGACTTGCTCCAATTTCTACCTTGTGTCGATCGTCATTTTCATTTTTGTGGGTTTTGCTTTGGTTATCCTAATAACAGTAACTAACATGACTGTATCAGTTGGGACTCTAAATGGACTCATTTTTTTCGCCAACATTGTGCGAGGCAATCAAGCAATGTTCCTACCAACAACTTCATTTGACAACAGTGCCTTAACTACAATAATGAGCTCTTTTATGGCGTGGTTAAACCTTGATCTAGGCATTCCAATATGCTTCTTTGATGGACTTACAACATATGTGAAAACATGGCTACAGTTTGTTTTTCCTATTTATATTCTGGCATTGGTTGGTGTCATGATCATTGCTAGCAACTACTCCACACGGGTAACTCGCCTCCTCGGGACCAATTCTGTCTCGGTTCTAGCCACTCTAGTTCTTCTCTCCTACACTAAGATCCTGAGAATCCTCATAACAGCTTTTACCTTCACCACCCTCACTGGGTCGCAGAGCTACCACAGTGTTGTATGGCTGGCTGATGGCAACATAAAGTACTTCGAAGCAAAACATGCAGCTCTGTTCCTAGTCGCACTTCTAGTACTCATGCTCTTTGGAGTACCCTATACAGTCACTCTGATTGCTGCTCCCTGGATACAGAGATCAAGGTTCAAGTGGGTGTCCTCTCTGTACAACAGGTTCAAGCCTCTGTTTGATGCATACATGGGACCATACAAGGACAACTGCCGCTACTGGGCAGGAATGCTTCTTCTAGTAAGGGCAGTTATGATTGTCTTATTATCCAGCATTGCCAACACCAACACGGTCGCTGCAACTCAACTGAATCTCTTTCTTCTCACTCTATCATCCACCGCTCTGCTAGGATTCACTGCAGCCCTTAGACCTTACAAGAACAAGCTGTTGAATGGACTGGAAATATTCCACATCACTCTCCCGTTTATATTCTCTTCCTCCAACCACTATATTATCTCACACACTGGTTATGAAATCGCATCAACCATCTACGTCTATGTTGTCCTGGTTGGAGTCAGTTGAATTGTGTTCCTGGGAGTCTGTGTTGGTCACATCTGGTGCAGAGTACGCAGTGCTAAGGCCGGAAGAAGGGCAGAATCACCAGAGAGGGAGCTTGAAGAGCATTACCCTCTGTGGCAGGGAGCCAGGATCAGAGCTGAGGATGATAATGAAGAAACAGAAACGGTCACAGTTGGGACCATCAACACCATATCAATTGGAGGGAGATGAGATTCACTTGTCAACCTTATAGCTGATAATGACGGCTTTCTACATTGATTCATACTGTGAGAACTAAGGTGAACTGTATGTGTATGTGCACAGTATATTGTGCGTGTATTGTGTATATGTGCATGCGTAGTAAGTAGGTCACTTATGTTGAGTTATGTAATCATTCTAGAAGGTTCTACAGCACATCAATACATAAGTAGCAGTGTTTTTTTACTCTGTGTGTGGCAATGATTTGAGTTGATCTGGTGAAAGATTATTGTGAACGTGGTCGGTCGTGTGTCGACTGGCTAAGTGATAGGACCCCTTTGCATGTGTTGCTAGTGGCTCCCTCACACATACCCTACTAGACTGTCTCTTTAGTCACTGAATATAACCACTAGCAATGTGTATTGATAGGAATACATACTTTTTGAAAAATTTGGCATTACAAGTATTAGTAACTACACTCAGATTTGGTGGTGAGCAGGTTTTGAGTCATACACAAAAAAGCTTGGCCTCTAGCTACTTACTTTCGGTTATGTGAGGAAGTTAAAAATGCCATTACTAAACTTAATGACAGACCAACATGTTTTTAGTGACAGTTGGATATATTATATTTAGAGTCAAGAATTTTATATTGCTTAAAATGCTAGGTACCTAGTGCATCCAAAGGTTATATAAAGAATGCATACGTGTCTCTGTCGGAACAGTAAGTAATGTTATGCCAATAATCTTTTTTGGACTAAGGTGATTGCTGCCAGAGCATCTTCACCTTCAGCCATTGATTTTACCCTTAGGCATATATATATATACAAGTGGAAAAATCATTTGAAGGGGGATATAGGGATGGCTTGAAGCACCAAAAAAGGAAGAAACAAGGGGTCATTACACAGCAAAGATGCACCAAGCTACATGACACCATCCCTATATCTTAAACTTTACTTGTGAACTATATATAACACAAAGATAAAGGGATGGTGTCATGTAGCTTGGTGCATCAACATGGATATATGTACTAGTCAGCTCTTTTTTGACCTCATGAACTCTGGATTTGAGAGAATGTGGTATGAGACAGTTTTGTCAGAGAGTCGGTAGACTCTCTATATAGGGACGACACGGGTGAAATCTCACGTGATCCGCGTACAAAACGACTAAAAACTCGGTGAGAATCACTCCCTAGGCCTTCAAAACATACTAGCAATAGTCTACGGGCCCATATCTACCTATATATGTCCCCCAAGACCTCATACGCACCTCCAGTCGTCCACGTGAGAATTCGCTCATACGCGATTTCACGATTTTCGTGTCATCATCACATTCTTCATCTTCTTCTTCTTCTTCTTCTTCTTCTTCAGACCCGCTAGCTCCTTACCGGAAGCACTTGAAGCGTTGATTTTTTCACAGAACGTCTCCGAATTTGCCGGAGGTGTGCACGCATATCAAGCGATCGTTTGTTTCTTGCCGCAAGTCACTACGGTAGATCGTTGAGCTCTTCCTCGGTAGTCACTGAACAACGCCATTTGCTGCTAACTCAGCATCAGTGAGCCGCATGCGCAGAGGAGGGCGTTTCCAATGCAGTGCGCGCGCATTTTGTCTCGTAAACCTGGTCCACGAACGAGACTAAGCCAGGACTGGATGCCTGCAGAGAAAACTACTCTCACCCTCCAGTGCCTTCTGTAAGTCAGTGTACACATTTGTAACTGGCTAGCTTGCGTTTTTCTGTTGATTTGCACGAGGAGCAACTTGACAATCTGCGCCGTGTTACGCGTGCCTTGCCCAGCGCCTTCATTCTTTGTCCCCAGGTTATAGCTATCATTAACCCTCGGCGCGCATGCGCAGCGAGGGTTGCAGTAGTTGGGTCTGTCTGTGTGTCTGTCTGTGTGTCTGTTACTCTTCATCTTCTTTCGTCTCACAAAGGATACCACCTACCGAACGGGCAATGAAGGTCATTTCGAACGGTTTTCTCTGAAAACGCTCCGTTGCAAAGCTAGAGCGCTTCCACCATTGTACGGCTAATGTGTAGTCGGCCATTTTTATCGCTGCGGAACAGGAAAATGCGCATGCGCTTATATTTAGCACAGGACCGGGTCTGCTTGCTCTGTGTAGTTTGAAGGTACAAGAAGTCACAACGAAGGGCGTGTATCGACTCTCGCATGCTAATCTACTACTGTAGCTAGCCCGTGTCAGACTCTGCGAGCTATATTATACTAGCGCATACTAATATACCGCGCATGCGCAGTTCGCCGAGGGTTTGCACTTCAGTGCTTTTCATTATACTAAGTACTAGTTGTAGTCTGATTTCTGAAGCCTGCCCAATGAAACCACCACCATATGTGCCACAACCTAATCGTGTCCTTGTTGGAGACACTACGCCTGCACCCTGCTTCAGGTAAGAGCAGTCCATTAGCTTCTGCTTTCAACAGTTATCTCTACAACATAGCCATGAACATCAGAGTGACTGAAAATGCAGTGTTGTCGTAGGCTGTTAAAAATAATGGAAACAAGTGGGAAAATCATTTCTTCAAAATGAAAGTGGGATATAGGGATGACTTGAAGCACCAAAAAGGAAGAAACAAGGGGTCATTACACGCCAAATATGCACAAAGCCACATGACACCATCCCTATATCTTTGTTTCATATTAAACTTTGCTTATGAATAATAAAACAAAGATATAGGGATGGTGTCATGTGGCTTTGTGCATATTTGGCGTGTAATGACCCCTTGTTTCTTCCTTTTTGGTGCTTCAAGTTATCCCTATATCCCACTTTCATTTTGAAGAAATGATTTTTCCACTTGTATAATATGTTCCTTGAGGAAATGACTGTCGTGGAATGTAAATTATTGTAGCTATAATTAACACAAGCAAAGTTCCTGCATGCATTCTGCTGACAGTCAATTGCTTTTGCTTAACACTAAGCCTCTGAGTACAGCAGAAGCAGTGGCCACAACAGGAGTAGTGTGTGGTGTGTGTAGCTTCACTGCTGGACTGCTACTTGGTGTTCTACTGACTCTGTGTCATGGTCACTGTCATAGGAAGGGGAAGAGAGGCCAGACCGAGATACCTCCTGTTTATGAGGACATTCCCTTGGAGAAGACACCTCATTCAACTGAACGTCAATGAAGCTGATGGACCTATCACAAGATAAATCTCATGAAAAAACATGTTTTATAGCATACTAGCTAAAGGTATAATATCAGAGGAAAAGGAAGAACCTCCCCCACCCAAGCACACAAAACACAGACAATAACATACCCAAGCATACAAAAACACAGACAATAACATATAAACAGAAAGAAAGAGGCAGGACCCTGGGTGCCCAGCCTTGAGAACCGGGGCGGTAGGTTAAAGAGTCTTTTATGGGCCTAACTCTCCCTACACACCCAGTGTCCCAACCTCCCTTACACATTGTTATAAAATAAATTGATAGAAATCATGTACAAAAAACGACAGCTACAGGATAAAAACAACAGCCGGTAGAAAAATAGAAAGCCTCAAAGGACCAATAAACTCATAGAAAAATTTAAAAACTCTGAAACTCACGCAGCACGACGACACGACGGAGACATAAAAAACGTGCGATTATTCTAAATAACGCACAGCATATACACGTGTAAGAAAAATAGAAAAAATAGAACTCCTAAAATAAGATTAATAGTTCTGTCGATTACTTTAAATAACGCACAGCATATGCAAAAAATATAAATAATATAAATAAGAGTAGAAATGGTAGAAATAGAAATGTTAAAAATAGATTATTCAAAATAAATATGTGACTATAAATATCTATGCGACACATGAATGACCACACCACTAACAGTTGTATATTACACTACGGGGGGCAGAGTGAAATTGTTTGATTCTTGCTTGCTGTTTCTGTACCAGGCTAGCTATAACCTAGATTTCTCATGACCATGTGTGCCGGCGACAGTATTTAAAAAAATAATTAGCTATATAAAAGTGAACACAATAGCTAAAACATGGTGTAAACTACCTAAATTTGACTTCTGATATGACCAATCAAGTTAATGATGTCTTGAATGGGGAAAGTGAGTATGCTGAGCGAATAGATAATGGCAGAGAATTTTCTGTGCTGCATGAAAATGAATTCAGAAAGCAATTTGTATGAGATAAAGGCTGAAGAAATAGTCAGAAGCAGAACGAAAAGGAGTGACCAGTGGAATAAAAACATCAGGAAGAAATCTATCATAATGGTTCACATTTTTGTACATGGTACAAGTTGGACGTGTTTCCAAAGCTGGAAAGTCAAAGAGATAAAAGAGTGCTAGCTATAGTTCAGTGTCCACTGCTCATCGGTGAGTCAGGAACCTGCAGATACACTTGAGTAGGATGGGGTGTATATAATCCCGAATTTTCACTAAAAGAAGGTCGCGGTACAGCACCGAATCGAAAGCCTTTTTGTAAATCCAGAAATACAACACAAACTTCGATTCCTGCCTCCAGGTGTTTATCAAGCCAAGAGGGCTGTTGTTGTTGACTTGTTTGATGTGATTGTTAGATATTATATCTTGTTTGTTGTATTAGAGGCCTGCCTAAGTTTTCTGTGGCTATAATGTTCGTGCCAGTAAGTGAACTCATCTTGAGGGGGTGTACAGTTATAGCTACGTAGAAGTAAAGCCTCAAGAGACAGAGAAATCAGTAGATATCCATAGAAATCTAGAAATCACTGGAAATCAGTAGAAATCACGCGGAAATCTGGAAATCTGTTGAAATCATGTAAATCTGAAGTTGTAATTACGTGCAAATCTGGAAATCAGTGAGAAGTCAAGAGAAATCACCGGCTTTTAGATATCTCGTACGTCATAACGGCCCGTGCTCGGATCCCTCGACCTCCGTGGTGGCTGTTGAGTTAACCGATTGCTCTCTGCATCTCGATGACGTAATCCCCGCTGCCCGAACGACGAACGTGGATCTGGTCGTCTGGCTGGGGCGGCGGCGCGGTGTTCCATAGTTGCGACGTGCGCCACGCCATCAAGTTCTCCAGCGGGCAATATTCGGAAATCAGTGTCTGAATTCCTTCGTCCCCTCTTGGCGTTCAAACATTGTGGATATATACAACACAAGATAAACCGGTAACATTCTGAACCTAGCAAGTAGCTAGCTAGGTGAATTTCTGTTTAGTTCATGCATAGGTTTGCCTTCAAGCTCATTTTTCCCCTACTCGTTGCAAAAATTGGTAAGTGGTTTACTTACACAATGTGTGCCATGCCTATAATGTAGTATTCACACACACAAAGGTTATTGCTCACAAAAATCATGATTCTCAGTGAAGAACAAACAAACATGTTTCTTCATGTAACTAAAAAAGCTGGGTATTGATACATTTGTGTGCATTATTTCTAAAAGGGAATGCCTGTTACCTTTCAATTAAGGGTTCGAATCATTTACTGCACAGAAGTGGCAACAGAAGTGACTATAAAGCCTCAAGAAGGATGTGTCTGCCCTGATCGTGGCTACTCCTGCAGGGCAGACTCTGTGACTGAAATTGAATGGGATAGTAGATTTTTGGGAAGCAAAATTTCCTATGACATTCATCGAGAGAAGAAAGATGCCGATGTACGGAGTGGTGGACTGAGAGTGCTGTTCTCTGAGGTTCTAGTAGAAGGTGGCCTAGCTAACCTGACAGCTCAACTATTCTTAGTTGATCAGCACACATGGAACCGAAGCAATGCTACTTGCCAGGCGATAGGGCAAGGGAGAGTTAGACAAGCCACTGCGACCGTTTGTGTCACCGGTAGGTTTGTTATGTTACAACGATTAGATGATTTGAATAATGCCTACCACCGACCGCAGGTCCAGCCTCCCCTCCCACAGTTCTATCGGTTGTGTGGGACTCACCATCAGCTGTGGTCAGTTTCCAGTCTCCAGTGTATGGTGGAGAATGTGTAAACTATTATGTGGTCACTGCTGCCAGTGAAGAGAGGAATGTACTGTGTAATGTGACCAGTGATGGTACTGAAACAAACTGCAGTATTTATCTCGGGGATGACAATGTCAATGACTTTAACTTCACTGTCCATGGTGTGACTCGTGTTAATGATATTCTTGTCTACAATGGAAGCATTGCCACTGGATGCTGTGAGTTTGAAGTCAGCTATGGCTCAAAGTGCCATCATTTTGTTCTATTAGGCTTGCCGTTTCCTGAGAATATAAGAGCCACTGAAGTAGAATGCAGAATGATCAGAATGTCTTGGGAGGTTAGAATTTGTTTACCAGATTAAGTTAACGTGTATCTACAGAACAAGCGCAATACCTTGGAGATAGTGAACACAACCATCAGTTGGCGTGGGGTCCACGTCAGTGGAGTCAGGCATTATGAGAGAGGTAGTTCTGAAGACTCTCATCTACTAACAGTAGACTACTCTGAGACTGGACCAGTGGAAATTGCTGTGACATTGTCTAGTTCTGTCTGTAACAAAACCACTGTCACCCACTACCATGGTAAGACTGAGTTCTTGTCTTGTGCTGTGTGTGTGTGCCTCTCTCCACATCTACTCTGCAGTTGAAGGAGTTCTGACTAGTGTGTACCTGAGGTCCAAGACACTAGTCATTGAGAGCAGAGACTGCATTGCTAGACCTGAGAACTACAGGATAAGAGTTTGCTTTGTTGACACTCCCACTCCACCGTTGGTGCTTGCTTTCAGTACAACTGTGGAATACGACTTAGGAGGGTATGTAACAAGCTCCAAAATTATCAGAGTGGAGTTAGTTGAGAAAACATCCAACACCACTATTGATGAGAAGGATGCTACAATCTTGTTAACTGTTCCTACCATAACAGCTACAGAACCAGGTTTAGACTATTGTAGACACTCCCTGCATAAGGATTATAGTGGTGATTTAGGTGCAACTGTGGCAGCTACAGACTCCATGAATGTATACACCACAGTGGGTGTGGCTGTGGGAGGAGTAATATTTGGAGTGGCAATGACAGTAGTTGTTCTAGTGATTGTCAGGAACATGAAGAAACACTTTAGAGGTAGATAATTATACTTCATGTTCTTTTTACTATCTCCTTTGAAGACACCAGAGATTCCACTGTTGGACAAACAGTGACAGATGCAGTGAAGTGTTTTTGTTGTGCACTCCATAAAGAGGCTCAGTAAGTGTGCTGTTTTACTTTGCAAGTTCCCCAAAATTTTACATTATGAGTCACATTTGCTTGTCTATGTTATATTATGTAGATATGTATGTTGTATGTACACATGGAGATAAAAGGCCCATTTTCTGTGTTCCTGTAGACTTTTACTTTCGATCCATAGTTATCTGTTTCCAGGATGGGCATATAGCTACCATCACTGTATATATACACACAAGGAGATAAAAACGCTGGATGCATACCGTGTTCTTGTCAATAAAAGGCACAATCCATGTAGGTTGGTGTATACCATGCTCTATATTTACACATGCATGGACCGATAGATAAAGGTTTTCAGTACTGAGTTTCAGTATGCATACTATTATGCTCCATACACTTACACACACAGTGTTGTTTGTGAGTCTCGACCTCCAGCAGTGGTGTATGAGACAGTGAGTGATGTGGTGACACCCACTGGTCCAGATACCAGTGAGAACGTGGCTTATGGAGTCTCTCACTCTCTACCCACCACCACACAACATAACCCCGCTTATGGAGTGGCCGGGAAGTAGAGACATTGAAGCCATCGCCCTAGTGCTATAGCTGCCCCATGAGTGTTAGCTATAATGATAACATTATAAAGTCTCAATTGTTGTTGTCAACAAAATATTATTGTCCAATATCAGTGTGAGCAAAGTTTCTTGTATTAACGCTATGTGTATTTTTTGATAACGTGTGTGTTTATAATTATAGTCACGAGGTTGAAAATTCTTTGTTGCACGAAAGACTGGCCTGAGAGCAGGTGTTTCGAATGTCCTCACAAGCTAAGTCAACGTTAGGAAAACAAGTTGGTATGTAAAAGGTAAAGTCTATAATCGATAATTGCATGCTGTTGTCTTTATCCTGTAGCTGTCGTTTTTTGTGTTTATTTTCGTGTAAGGGAGGTTGGGACACTGGGTGTGTAGGAAGAGTTGGGCCCATAAAAGACTCTTTAACCTACCGCCCCAGTTCTCAAGGCTGGGCACCCAGGGTCCTGCCTCTTTCTTTCTGTTTATATGTTATTGTCTGTGTTTTTGTATGCTTGGGTATGTTATTGTCTGTGTTTTGTGTGCTTGGGTGGGGGAGGTTCTTCCTTTTCCTCTGATATTATACCTTTAGCTAGTATGCTATAAAACATGTTTTTTCATGAGATTTATCTTGTGATAGGTCCATCAGCTTCATTGACGTTCAGTTGAATGAGGTGTCTTCTCCAAGGGAATGTCCTCATAAACAGGAGGTATCTCGGTCTGGCCTCTCTTCCCCTTCCTATGACAGTGACCATGACACAGAGTCAGTAGAACACCAAGTAGCAGTCCAGCAGTGAAGCTACACACACCACACACTACTCCTGTTGTGGCCACTGCTTCTGCTGTACTCAGAGGCTTAGTGTTAAGCAAAAGCAATTGACTGTCAGCAGAATGCATGCAGGAACTTTGCTTGTGTTAATTATAGCTACAATAATTTACATTCCACGACAGTCATTTCCTCAAGGAACATATTATACAAGTGGAAAAATCATTTCTTCAAAATGAAAGTGGGATATAGGGATAACTTGAAGCACCAAAAAGGAAGAAACAAGGGGTCATTACACGCCAAATATGCACAAAGCCACATGACACCATCCCTATATCTTTGTTTTATTATTCATAAGCAAAGTTTAATATGAAACAAAGATATAGGGATGGTGTCATGTGGCTTTGTGCATATTTGGCGTGTAATGACCCCTTGTTTCTTCCTTTTTGGTGCTTCAAGTTATCCCTATATCCCACTTTCATTTTGAAGAAATGATTTTTCCACTTGTATAATATGTTCCTTGAGGAAATGACTGTCGTGGAATGTAAATTATTGCTATAATTAACACAAGCAAAGTTCCTGCATGCATTCTGCTGACAGTCAATTGCTTTTGCTTAACACTAAGCCTCTGAGTACAGCAGAAGCAGTGGCCACAACAGGAGTAGTGTGTGGTGTGTGTAGCTTCACTGCTGGACTGCTACTTGGTGTTCTACTGACTCTGTGTCATGGTCACTGTCATAGGAAGGGGAAGAGAGGCCAGACCGAGATACCTCCTGTTTATGAGGACATTCCCTTGGAGAAGACACCTCATTCAACTGAACGTCAATGAAGCTGATGGACCTATCACAAGATAAATCTCATGAAAAAACATGTTTTATAGCATACTAGCTAAAGGTATAATATCAGAGGAAAAGGAAGAACCTCCCCCACCCAAGCACACAAAACACAGACAATAACATACCCAAGCATACAAAAACACAGACAATAACATATAAACAGAAAGAAAGAGGCAGGACCCTGGGTGCCCAGCCTTGAGAACTGGGGCGGTAGGTTAAAGAGTCTTTTATGGGCCCAACTCTTCCTACACACCCAGTGTCCCAACCTCCCTTACACGAAAATAAACACAAAAAACGACAGCTACAGGATAAAGACAACAGCATGCAATTATCGATTATAGACTTTACCTTTTACATACCAACTTGTTTTCCTAACGTTGACTTAGCTTGTGAGGACATTCGAAACACCTGCTCTCAGGCCAGTCTTTCGTGCAACAAAGAATTTTCAACCTCGTGACTATATTTATAAACACACACGTTATCAAAAAATACACATAGCGTTAATACAAGAAACTTTGCTCACACTGATATTGGACAATAATATTTTGTTGATTACAACAATGCTTTATAATGTTATCATTATAGCTAACACTCATGGGGCAGCTATAGCACTAGGGCGATGGCTTCAATGTCTCTACTTCCCGGCCACTCCATAAGCGGGGTTATGTTGTGTGGTGGTGGGTAGAGAGTGAGAGACTCCATAAGCCACGTTCTCACTGGTATCTGGACCAGTGGGTGTCACCACATCACTCACTGTCTCATACACCACTGCTGGAGGTCGAGACTCACAAACAACACTGTGTGTGTAAGTGTATGGAGCATAATAGTATGCATACTGAAACTCAGTATTAATATGTTCCACACCTTAATCGTCCATGCATGTGTAAACATAGAGCATAGTATATACAACCCACCTAAATGTGCTTAGCTATGCTTATTGACATGAACACAGTATGATCCAGCTTTATTGTCTCCTTGTGGAATCAATGTGCAGTGATGGTATATGCCCATCCTTGAAACAGAATATGGATCGAAAGTAAAAGGTCTACACTCATGAATAGAACACAGAAAATGGGCCTTTTATCTCCATGTGTACATACAACATACATATCTACATAATATAACATAGACAAGCAAATGTGACTCATAATGTAAAATTTTGGGGAACTTGCAAAGTAAAACAGCACACTTACTGAGCCTCTTTATGGAGTGCACAACAAAAACACTTCACTGCATCTGTCACTGTTTGTCCAACAGTGGAATCTCTGGTGTCTTCAAAGGAGATAGTAAAAAGAACATGAAGTATAATTATCTACCTCTAAAGTGTTTCTTCATGTTCCTGACAATCACTAGAACAACTACTGTCATTGCCACTCCAAATATTACTCCTCCCACAGCCACACCCACTGTGGTGTATACATTCATGGAGTCTGTAGCTGCCACAGTTGCACCTAAATCACCACTATAATCCTTATGCAGGGAGTGTCTACAATAGTCTAAACCTGGTTCTGTAGCTGTTATGGTAGGAACAGTTAACAAGATTGTAGCATCCTTCTCATCAATAGTGGTGTTGGATGTTTTCTCAACTAACTCCACTCTGATAATTTTGGAGCTTGTTACATACCCTCCTAAGTCGTATTCCACAGTTGTACTGAAAGCAAGCACCAACGGTGGAGTGGGAGTGTCAACAAAGCAAACTCTTATCCTGTAGTTCTCAGGTCTAGCAATGCAGTCTCTGCTCTCAATGACTAGTGTCTTGGACCTCAGGTACACACTAGTCAGAACTCCTTCAACTGCAGAGTAGATGTGGAGAGAGGCACACACACACAGCACAAGACAAGAACTCAGTCTTACCATGGTAGTGGGTGACAGTGGTTTTGTTACAGACAGAACTAGACAATGTCACAGCAATTTCCACTGGTCCAGTCTCAGAGTAGTCTACTGTTAGTAGATGAGAGTCTTCAGAACTACCTCTCTCATAATGCCTGACTCCACTGACGTGGACCCCACGCCAACTGATGGTTGTGTTCACTATCTCCAAGGTATTGCGCTTGTTCTGTAGATACACGTTAACTTAATCTGGTAAACAAATTCTAACCTCCCAAGACATTCTGATCATTCTGCATTCTACTTCAGTGGCTCTTATATTCTCAGGAAACGGCAAGCCTAATAGAACAAAATGATGGCACTTTGAGCCATAGCTGACTTCAAACTCACAGCATCCAGTGGCAATGCTTCCATTGTAGACAAGAATATCATTAACACGAGTCACACCATGGACAGTGAAGTTAAAGTCATTGACATTGTCATCCCCGAGATAAATACTGCAGTTTGTTTCAGTACCATCACTGGTCACATTACACAGTACATTCCTCTCTTCACTGGCAGCAGTGACCACATAATAGTTTACACATTCTCCACCATACACTGGAGACTGGAAACTGACCACAGCTGATGGTGAGTCCCACACAACCGATAGAACTGTGGGAGGGGAGGCTGGACCTGCGGTCGGTGGTAGGCATTATTCAAATCATCTAATCGTTGTAACATAACAAACCTACCGGTGACACAAACGGTCGCAGTGGCTTGTCTAACTCTCCCTTGCCCTATCGCCTGGCAAGTAGCATTGCTTCGGTTCCATGTGTGCTGATCAACTAAGAATAGTTGAGCTGTCAGGTTAGCTAGGCCACCTTCTACTAGAACCTCAGAGAACAGCACTCTCAGTCCACCACTCCGTACATCGGCATCTTTCTTCTCTCGATGAATGTCATAGGAAATTTTGCTTCCCAAAAATCTACTATCCCATTCAATTTCAGTCACAGAGTCTGCCCTGCAGGAGTAGCCACGATCAGGGCAGACACATCCTTCTTGAGGCTTTATAGTCACTTCTGTTGCCACTTCTGTGCAGTAAATGATTCGAACCCTTAATTGAAAGGTAACAGGCATTCCCTTTTAGAAATAATGCACACAAATGTATCAATACCCAGCTTTTTTAGTTACATGAAGAAACATGTTTGTTTGTTCTTCACTGAGAATCATGATTTTTGTGAGCAATAACCTTTGTGTGTGTGAATACTACATTATAGGCATGGCACACATTGTGTAAGTAAACCACTTACCAATTTTTGCAACGAGTAGGGGAAAAATGAGCTTGAAGGCAAACCTATGCATGAACTAAACAGAAATTCACCTAGCTAGCTACTTGCTAGGTTCAGAATGTTACCGGTTTATCTTGTGTTGTATATATCCACAATGTTTGAACGCCAAGAGGGGACGAAGGAATTCAGACACTGATTTCCGAATATTGCCCGCTGGAGAACTTGATGGCGTGGCGCACGTCGCAACTATGGAACACCGCGCCGCCGCCCCAGCCAGACGACCAGATCCACGTTCGTCGTTCGGGCAGCGGGGATTACGTCATCGAGATGCAGAGAGCAATCGGTTAACTCAACAGCCACCACGGAGGTCGAGGGATCCGAGCACGGGCCGTTATGACGTACGAGATATCTAAAAGCCGGTGATTTCTCTTGACTTCTCACTGATTTCCAGATTTGCACGTAATTACAACTTCAGATTTACATGATTTCAACAGATTTCCAGATTTCCGCGTGATTTCTACTGATTTCCAGTGATTTCTAGATTTCTATGGATATCTACTGATTTCTCTGTCTCTTGAGGCTTTACTTCTACGTAGCTATAACTGTACACCCCCTCAAGATGAGTTCACTTACTGGCACGAACATTATAGCCACAGAAAACTTAGGCAGGCCTCTAATACAACAAACAAGATATAATATCTAACAATCACATCAAACAAGTCAACAACAACAGCCCTCTTGGCTTGATAAACACCTGGAGGCAGGAATCGAAGTTTGTGTTGTATTTCTGGATTTACAAAAAGGCTTTCGATTCGGTGCTGTACCGCGACCTTCTTTTAGTGAAAATTCGGGATTATATACACCCCATCCTACTCAAGTGTATCTGCAGGTTCCTGACTCACCGATGAGCAGTGGACACTGAACTATAGCTAGCACTCTTTTATCTCTTTGACTTTCCAGCTTTGGAAACACGTCCAACTTGTACCATGTACAAAAATGTGAACCATTATGATAGATTTCTTCCTGATGTTTTTATTCCACTGGTCACTCCTTTTCGTTCTGCTTCTGACTATTTCTTCAGCCTTTATCTCATACAAATTGCTTTCTGAATTCATTTTCATGCAGCACAGAAAATTCTCTGCCATTATCTATTCGCTCAGCATACTCACTTTCCCCATTCAAGACATCATTAACTTGATTGGTCATATCAGAAGTCAAATTTAGGTAGTTTACACCATGTTTTAGCTATTGTGTTCACTTTTATATAGCTAATTATTTTTTTAAATACTGTCGCCGGCACACATGGTCATGAGAAATCTAGGTTATAGCTAGCCTGGTACAGAAACAGCAAGCAAGAATCAAACAATTTCACTCTGCCCCCCGTAGTGTAATATACAACTGTTAGTGGTGTGGTCATTCATGTGTCGCATAGATATTTATAGTCACATATTTATTTTGAATAATCTATTTTTAACATTTCTATTTCTACCATTTCTACTCTTATTTATATTATTTATATTTTTTGCATATGCTGTGCGTTATTTAAAGTAATCGACAGAACTATTAATCTTATTTTAGGAGTTCTATTTTTTCTATTTTTCTTACACGTGTATATGCTGTGCGTTATTTAGAATAATCGCACGTTTTTTATGTCTCCGTCGTGTCGTCGTGCTGCGTGAGTTTCAGAGTTTTTAAATTTTTCTATGAGTTTATTGGTCCTTTGAGGCTTTCTATTTTTCTACCGGCTGTTGTTTTTATCCTGTAGCTGTCGTTTTTTGTACATGATTTCTATCAATTTATTTTATAACAATGTGTAAGGGAGGTTGGGACACTGGGTGTGTAGGGAGAGTTAGGCCCATAAAAGACTCTTTAACCTACCGCCCCGGTTCTCAAGGCTGGGCACCCAGGGTCCTGCCTCTTTCTTTCTGTTTATATGTTATTGTCTGTGTTTTTGTACGCTTGGGTATGTTATTGTCTGTGTTTTGTATGCTTGGGTGGGGGAGGTTCTTTCTTTTCCTCTGAGCTAGTATGCTATAAACATGTTTTTTCATGTACTCAGATATTCGTATACTCTTCTCAAGCAGGTTCAAGTCGAGGTAGCTAGGTAGTAGTCCTAAGGGCATTTCTATATACATAGTTTCTTTTGCCTTCCCATTTCTCATGCCTCTCCAGCTGCTATCCTGGCTTCTCCACCTGAGGAAACCTATGCCAAGGCTTACAAAGACTTACACGTTCCTATATTTTGTGCAAAACCCGCAGAGCTACACCGCGCACATATATACCCGCGGTCGCGCGCGGTGTGGCCGGGGTTTGTAGTTTACTGAGCTATACGGAGCATGGCGTATGGCACATGGAGTTTATTATAGCGTATTAAACGGGGTTTAACAGCATAGAGCAGGCCAAAGGGTTAATATAAAAAAAACGACGCATGCTCAGAATAGCTATAGGCCTCGTGGCTAGCTTCCTTTAGTCACCACCCTGAATGCAATTGGGCACTGGATGCCGACCCTATCAGTACGACTTAGCTACTTATCTACGTATGAGCTCGCAGGAATTTGTTATATACAAACCCCGTGCTATGATCAAGGCAACTTCACTTTTGTGATTTCTGTTGCTTTCCATCTGATTTCTACGGATTTCAGACCATAAGTGTACGAGATTTCCACCCGTGTTGGACTCCTCGATGAAGATGAGTTTAAAAAAAGCCGTCAGCAGGATAATATGCTTCGGTGTTCTATGGATACATCTTCTAAAGTTGAACCATGCAGGTACTGGTAGGTAGCTAATAGCTAAGTCAATGTACCATGATTGCCACACGAAAATTCATCTACAGAAGTGGCAGCAGAAGTGACTATAAAGCCTCAAGAAGGATGTGTCTGCCCTGATCACAGCTACTCCTGCAGGGCAGACTCTCTGACTGAAATTGAATGGGATACTAAAATATCTATGACAAGTGAAATTTCCTATAACATTAACCGAGAGAAGAAATATGCTGATGTAGAGAGTGGGGGACTGAGAGTGCTGTTCTCTGAGGTTCCAGTAGAAGGTGGCCTAGCTAACCTGACAGCTCAACTATTCCTGGTTGATCAGCACACATGGAACCAAAGCAATGCTACTTGCCAGGCTATAGGGCAGGGGATCGCTAGACAAGACACCGTGACCGTTTGTGTCACTGGTGAGAATTATGCATACACCACCAGATACCAAAATGCATTAGTATACCCAACCACCAACTACAGGTCCAGCCTCCCCTCCCACTAGTCTGTCAGTTGTGTGGGACTCACCATCAGCTGTGGTCAGTTTCCAGTCTCCACTGTATGGTGGAGAATGTGTGGACTATTATGTGGTCACTGCTGCCAGTGAAGAGAGGAATGTACTGTGTAATGTGACCAGTGATGGTACTGAAAGAAACTGCAGTATTTATCTCGGGGGTGGCAATGTTAATCACTTTAATTTCACTGTCCATGGTGTTACTCGTGTCAATGATAGTTTTGTCTACAATGGACACATTGCCACTGACTACCGTAAGCATCTGAGTAACTAAAGTTGTTTGACTAAAGACAACATTACATCTTACAGGTCTGCCATTTCCAGAGAATGTAAGATCTGTTGAAGAGGAATGTGGGCATGTCAATGTCACATGGAAGGTTAGTAAAAATGTGAAAGAGGTAGAATTATTGTGATTTTTTTTATCTTCCAGAGCAATCACGTCATAGAACCAGTAAACACAACCATCAGTTGGCGTGGGGTCCACAGCAGTGGTGCCAGGCACTATGAGAGAGGTAGTTCTGAAGACTCTCATCTACTGACATTAGACTACTCTGAGACTGGACCAGTGGAAATTGCTGTGACATTCTCTAGTGCTGTCTGTAACAAAACCACTACCATTACACGTAAGACTTAGTAGCTATCTTTGAAAGTGTCAATAATGACCCACTCCATACAGTTAACAGAAAAAGATGTCTAACTGCAAGTGAAACAAGTCCAACCCCAACCCCTTGTTAGTCTAAGTTATGGAGTGACAAAAAGTGTGATATGAGATGGTGTATTCAATTTTTAGGTGATGTAGGTGTGACTGAGGCTGTTAAACCGACTGCAGATTCAGATGTCATGTGCATAGCAATCGGAGTAGGAGTTTGTGCGGCACTCTTGGTGGTGGTGACAGTGGCTGTGGCAGTATGGTGTCTTGTGAAGAAAAAAAGGTCTAAAAGTGGTATGTACTATATTTTACATGGACTAAAGTGAGGTGGTGTGGATTCTGTACATAGAGTCTGTTCCCTCCAGTAGCTGTGGTGATGAACTGAAAATTCCTGGGTGAGTCACTTCACTCTCACTAGGGAAGTTTTGGATATTCTATCACCTCACCTCTCTTCCTCCGTGTTTGCAATTGGTCCCAGTTCTCAGACCTGTAAGGGATGTGGTGATCAACAAGAGACCCCAGCCCCAGCAGCACCAGAGACTGAGACTGACAATACTCATCCTGATGTCCTCCCTCTTCTCTATGATGACCTAAATACCCTCACTAAAGAGGTGTTTCTCTTTCAGCTCTCTTTTTTTCTCATCTAATGGAGCTTTATGCCCACACACAGAAGAAGGAACAGTCATCATCAATGCCTATGTACCATGTTTTGGAGGGTCCCACTCCTGTGGAGTCGGCACCAGAGACTCAGGAACAGGAGGTATGCACACTGTACATGATTGATACAGCACTCGTACACAAAGTTTCAAGCGGTACATTTTGTGAACTTTATATACCACCTTTCATTGCATGTGACAACCAGAGTTCAGTGACAGATATTCCACTTTACTCTGTGGTAGACAAGAGTAAAAAGAAAAAGAAGACGACTAACTAGCTATATACATTGTGGCTAAAATAGTGTGGGAAACATGGCCCGTTGTCACATTGGTACCACACTGTCTGCCCGACTGCACAAGTAACTGTTCATAAACTTGTCTGTTGTCATGTTATGATTATGTTACGTTATCTTATGTTTTTGTCTGGCTGCTGGCTCTATGCCAGTTGTCCTTCAACACAGTTATTATATATTTATCACTCTCACATTTCTGATGTACTCTCTTCATTGTAATCTGTGTTGTAAAGCAGAATAATAATAATGTCCTCCGTTCTCTTAGCCACTATGGGTTGTGTGTTAACACCACTGTATATTTCAGTAGAAAGATCACAACTGTTCAAAGTGCTCTAGCTAATTGCCGAGCGCGTTAGCGTGAGGCAACTACTCCGGGTTGTATTCTCGCGATATGCGTACGTACATACGTACGTCATCAATTAGTCACACTTAGGAATGTCAATTAGTCACCAAAAGGAAGTGTAACTTCCGCCGTGCGCGCAGATTCGTAGGAAGTCAGGCTTCGTGCGCAGTCAGTAGAGAGCGGCCTCAGTCGGACTGTTTACGCATTGGCTGGCAGGCGCGAGGCAAAATGTGCGCGTGCGCATTCCTAGTTAATTACAATGCAGTATATACACGGTGACAAAAAATAATCTTCATTTTCAAACGCAAGTGAGGCAACTACTATCAAAAGCAGATTTATAAATTTTCCACTTTTGTTCAGTTGCTAAAAGAGCATCTGCATATAATGTGCATCCCACTACGTCAGAGTTAGTTACAACCCCCGTGCGACAGAACGACTACTGTAACCACTGCTGTGCATGCGCGCAGCACAAGGCCATTGCTTCCCCCCTCTATTGCACTGATCCCAGGCCTTGCCGAAAGCAAATTCTTGTAATCAGTGTTTATAGCTATTAAGTGTGTAGCTACTTCGTGTTCTACTGACTCAAACTGTCATAGGAGGGGGAGAGATCAGGGCAGACTATCGCTAATAGTACAACTGTACATATAGTTCATGGGGAGATGCAGAATAACATGGGACTGATATTGAGACTGTCCAGCAGAATGGGAGGCCAGTTTTGTCTTGGATCACAGCAATCCATGTCATATCGAGGGACAGTTTGTACATGTGCCATGCATTAGGAGGAAACTAGTGGAAAACTCTCACTGTTTTTTGTTCATGGATTACTGTCCCCCCACCAGTTGCACCAATCTTTTTCCCGTCAAAAAACAGAGGGCTGAAATTTCACAAATGCTTTCTCTATCAAAGGTTTCTCATGTGTGCACAGTAATTACATACATCCATTAGTACACATATGCATTATGATTCAGTGAAGGTAGTGTAGCTTCATATCAATAGACATATCAAAGCATAAATCCACAAGTGTGTATAAGATATATGCATTGCTGTAGCATGCACACACAACTTGCTATCCCTGCAGAGGCTGACGCAGTTGATGAGACCCTCACATATCTTTGCAAAACTACACCTGTAGCTACACATTCCCAGGGTAAAGGGTTGTGCAGTACATTAATGTACCAACTATACATGTCCCTCTGCTTCTTGTGTTTGTTGTGTTAGACGCTCTTGGGAGAATCTTAATGCATTCAAGTGTTTCCAACGGACAACATTAGCAACTGAAACTAGTTTCTGAATATGTGTCATCTGAGGGCATGTTTTCCTGAGAAAATTCTCGGAATAACACTGAGTTCTCATGCCCACAACAATATTGGGCTTTGGGTCTCAAGAATGTGTAGCACCCGTACACTAACCCGTACACTATATGTAGACTGTTTACTTTATTACCCTTGTCATTCGTATAGAATGTATGCACGTGGAAAATAATTCGATTTTAGACTCAGCCAAGAGTCATGGAGAGAGATGAGCATTGCCACGTGCAAGGCTGGTCGTGTCACAAATGTATGTGAGATGTATGTCTAATTACTAGTAGGCGAATGCATGGCATTTTTGGCGAGGGGAAGCGAGCTTACAAATGGGGTCTAATCGTATGAGTCACTCTTATGTGTGCACAAAACAGTGAGATACATTGCACAGGACCAAGTAGGCCGAAACCACCTTTTAGACCCGAGCGCAGTAGGCAATTCGAGTCGAGTCAAAAACAGTCAGACGACAGCGCGAATCAGGCATAATCCGGAAATCTGATTGTTCTTGCAGGAATAGGGAACAAGTGGCGGATCAAGTGTAGAGAACGGACCCAGCGCGCAACGAGTTTCCGGAAGCCGCACAAGTGACCGCGCCCCCACGCACATGTCACGCGCCATAGGCCACGCCCCCTAAAACATTGCTTACGCACGAAATAACGGGAGTGGCTGCTCTTGCAAATCCACAGGCTATTTATGGTAAGCCGAGCGGCATCAGAATAGACACTTTACGGCGGGTTGGCGGCATCCTCTCCCTTTCACGCGCTCTGCTGATCAGCAGATCGCGTGGTTCCAGACCAAGGGCCTGTTGAACTGGCCGTCTTGCTACCGCATGTTCCATACCTACCAACCATCCAGCTTTTTGCTTGATAATCAGAAAATCGCCAAATCCCTCTTTTTTTGGTGCTAACCTGTGATGCATTATGCCCATACATTGTGCAGCAAAAATACTCCAATTTGACACATTTCTCAAGCAAAGGTTTATCTGCAGGTTGGTAGGTACGATGTTCATGGCCTGTTGTTCGAGAAATGAAGCCATTCTGAGGGTCTGGATCAGCGTCAGCTCCCAGAGCGCGTGAAAGGGAGAGGATGCTGCCAACCCGCCGTATCGGCTTACCATTGGACGTTTTACAAAAAATAGCCTGTGGATTTGCAAGAGCAGCCCCTCCCGTTATTTCGTGCGTAGCAATGTTTTAGGGGGCGTGGCCTATGGCTCGTGACATGTGCGTGGGGGCGCGGTCACTTGTGCGGCTTTCGGAAGTCGTTGCGCGCTGGGTCCGTTCTCTACACTTGATCCCAAGTGGCAATGTAGAAAAATCTCTCGCTGGACTGTGCAGCAATTCTCGATAGCTTCGGAGGTGTTCGAGCCTGTCGTGTTGCGTTTCCCCTGGTTCCGCTCAGCATATGAAAATTTTAAAATCCCTTTCGGATAAAAAGAAGCGCGTAATGCTGGAACATGCGCAGTTGGACGACGTACGGTGACATATGGAATGAAAAGCACTGAAGTGCAAACCCTCGGCAAACTGCGCATAGGCGGTACTGCTAATGGACGGACCCGCAGTCTCCCGCTAGTAGCTCACGGAGAGTTTGTCACGGGCTAGCTACGGTAGTAGATAGCATGCGGGAGTCGATACACGCCCTTCGCTGTGGTGGTCTTGTGCCTCCGAGGCACACAGAGCAAGCGGATCAGGTCGGGTGTGAGCCAGCATACCGCGTTGATCGCGTCTAATATACGCATGCGCACCGCTTATTGATGGGTTGGGCCACGGAACACGGTCCGCGACGGTGCCAGTTTGTCGCTCTCGAACGCAGTCGTTTCAGGAAAAACCGTTCGATTCTTATTACCCGTTTATTACGTCGTATCGTTTGTGGGACGAAGAAACCATCGAGAAGTGAGTTGGAGCATGGACAGACAAACAAACAGACAAACCCAACTACCGTAACCCTCGCTGCGCATGCGCGCCGAGGGTTAAAAATCGCGCCGTTCGGACCACTAGTTTTAGGTTAGTTAAGTCAGCAAAAGAATCGCCATCATCATTATCTGAGTCAGAGTGTATATAGGGACCTTCTTCTATCACCATGGACTCTGGATCACTGGCAGTGAATCCACGTATTGCATCATTCTGGTCACTCCATCCCATACCCACAACTCCACTGGCAGTACAGGTGAGGGTGACAGTGGTGGCAGGACAGACTGATATGATACCATCCTCAGATTTTGGAGAGGAAGACAGGGAGATACCTTGGACATCCCAGCTTGTGCGGCAATGAATAGAAACCTGGACATGTACAAAAAGATGAAAATAGCTGTTTGTCAGTCACGCGTTAACAGCAAAGCACACAAAAATTAGTTACCCTTCCACTGAATTATTATGCTGCAGGAATAGGTATGGCACGAATCTTTCCCAGGTGAGAGGTGTGATTCGAGCTGTTTGAAAACAACTGTGCAGGACACACAGAGGTAGTGGGAGAAACAAAGGATGGAGAACGGTCTATGACTATACTGAAAGTATATAGGAATAGTGCAAGCAGGAGTGTGAAGTGCAGCACTACTGCAGTGCGCTTGTGGCAAGTGAATCCATGCTAGTTTTACACAAACATTGTGTGCTTGGTGCTGCCTATTGTATTATAGTTAGCTTATAGATAACTGGGTAGTCCTGCTCGACAATTACTATATAATAGCCGCAAGTTATAAGACAAGTGCCTTTATCTCTTCAAAGCCTCAGACTTTTTCTCCATTGAGTTTTTATCCAGTGTGAAATAGAAACTCTGACAATGTCACAATTTCTGCAAGAGTTGTTGTTCGCGCACTCCTCATACCTCCAGGGAAAACAATTGCAGCCAATGTGTACAGCCCCATCTAAAAAAGATCAATTACACACAGATGATAATAGAGTCGTAAATAGCTTACCAGGATGCCTTTTATATTCAACATAGCTAATTATGACCTCGATTTTGTCGAGCTACAAGCAACACAAATACACCCAAAATGATTAGTCAGCACTTTTCCTGACCTCATGAACTCTATAGAGGATGGTGTGTTGGTGAGAGAGTTATGCATGTTACTCTAGGATAACATGACAATGTTTTTGTAGGAAACTACAGTAACAATTTCTTGTTATGTAAACAGCAGAGCTTTTATGTTGTGAAAGGTGAAGTCAGTAATGACATGACAATCATCTTGAGATATGTCCATAAGCTTCATTGGTGTTGAGTTCAATGGGAGGTGTCTTCTCCAAGGGAATGTCCTCATAAACAGGAGGTATCTCAGTCTGGCCTCTCTTCCCCTTCCTATGACAGTGACCATGACATTGAGTCAGTAGAACACCAAGTAGCAGTCCAGCAGTGAAGCTACACACTACACACACTACTCCTGTTGTGGCCACTGCTTCTGCTGTGCTCAGAGAACTCCCTCTTTTATCACCATCTGTGGAGATATAGGCTGTAAGACTAACTCTAGGTTTCAGCCTTACTCATTGGTTGCATGGTCGGTGTCACTGTTGCCACTGGAGTTTTGCTGGTCACTATGCTTGAGCTGGTTAATACTGCATATTGTGGGTCAAAATTATAGTTAATGACTAGTTATGGTACTAAAATACCTGGTGGTTGAACACAGGTGACATTAGGCAGCCATGTTAGAGAAGGGAGAGAGCATGTGGCCACAGTCTCTCCCACCAGAACCAGGTGGGTGTCACAGGAGTAGGTGACCTGTGCTCCTACTCTGGAACTGGTCAACTCACCAACACTGCCATTCACTGGTGGACTGGGAGGACCACAGCCAGCTGAGGGAGAGGAATCAATCTTAATGTTACCACTAGAGTAAATCATTTCCATACCTATGGTGATGTCTGTAGTCACTGGCTCACTTTCCCCTGCACAATTCACGGCCACTACAGAGACTTGTAGAGGAGTATTATATTCTGCTCTCAGACAGAGTTCAGTGGATGTTTGGTTATATTCTATGCCAGAGCTAGTGTTGATCAGGTAGTACAAATCAGACTTCTGTCTCTGCCAGGTAAGGCAGGTTGTGAAGGTCTCTACAGAATGACTTTCTACGTTGAAGTCCACATGAGGAGAAAGTGGAGAACCTGCATGTCATGTTAAACATTGCAAGTGTTTTCAATAGTTAGCTAGGCTTTCTCTGTAATATTTTTTATTATGAGGCAAATTTTTGGGAGAACTAAAGATTTTGTGCCACTGTACAAAAATTGAATTGATCCTGGGACACATTCAAATGTTAATTTTGTGAGAATGACTATAGCTAACCCCATAATATCTTGCACCCGACAGTACAGTAAAACAAACCTTGTTTAAAAAAGAGGAGAGAGGCCACTGAAGATAGTATACGGCAGGTGACATTGGTTCCATTTTGTATTTTATCATTCACCACCACATCCAGTGTGGAGGTATAGTTGCCACGAGAGCCATTCATCATCAGTTCCCTGGTCACTACAGTGATAGCAACACACCCTCCACCATATGAGGATCTCCAATATCAGGAAACATTGGTGTCAGATTTGGAGAGTTGTCTTCGTTGAGAAGAGGAAGAGCATACCATACCATACCCAAGACTAGAGTGACTGAGCAGGTGAATGTGATAGTGGCATCAGGACACACTGTTACATGTCCCTCCTCTGGCTCCACTGATGAAGAGAAGACTATTCCATCTGTACCTGAATGAAGATAAACTAATTTTATCTCTAGGTATCCATGCATTTTTATGCCTGTTGAAGTTGGAAAAGTCCTAGTCCCAGTGTGGTAACAACACTCGGACTTATGAAACCTACAGGTTACATGTGTGCTTTACACCTGCAGAGTTGTTTACTGAGTAAACAAAAAAACTCCAGCAGAAAAACCTTCTATAAGTGCCAGACAAGAATCAGGGTGTCTAGTAACAAGACAACTAAACAGTGAGGGTAGTAAAAGGATTTAGCAAACAAGACAATTGGAAGGTAAAATGCCTCCATAGTCACTAAAGTAAAATACGTGATGCAAAGCAGGGAGCCTTATTTGCTCCCCCTCTTGTCCTTCTAAGACTCTGCTGCATGTCATCATGCTGAAAGTGTGCAGCAGTTGCATGCATAATGGAGAAACCCATTAGCCTCTGTGATCTTCTATGTGTGATGGCATGTTAAAAAACAGAATGTGACATCATAAGCCCTGCTGTAACTTTTACAAACACAGTTATATCCATACCTCTGACATGCACAAAGGGGATGATATAGTACACTATCATACAAGTGTTGCAGTTCGTGCATGTGCTCTCACCTCCAACATGCAAACCACAGTAAGCAAAAACGAAAATCCAGAGTTTAACGAGAGCCTAAGGACAAAAGATCTGTTAGAACCTCAAGCATATCTGATAAACTAGCAACTTCGCTAGATACCTGGGGTTCCATCATGGCCTTCGTCGCGATGTGCGCTCACAAAAGCCACACCTTTAGCTAGAGAGATACCCCGCGGCCGCGTGCCGCATGGGAGCATGTAAGGGGTGGCGCGTTTTGCCTTGAGGAAACGACTGTCATGGAATGTGAATGTTTTAGTAGCTACGAACACAAACAAAGTTCCTGCATGCATGCTGCTGACAGTCTGCTCTCTCGAGGTCACACGGACGCGAGCGGAAGCGACCGTCAACTGCGCATGCGTTGACATTACGCAGCCAAAAACGTATGCGCTATCGCCCCCTAGTGTATACTTCTAGCTACGCCACTGTGTAGTGTGTAGCTTCACTGCTGGACTGCTACTTGGTGTTTTACAGACTCAATGTCTTGGTCACTCTCATAGGAAGGGGGAGAGAGGCCAGACTGAGGTACCTCCTGTGTAGCTATAAGGACATTCAAAACACCTCTCACTGCCTGTCTTTCACGCAACAAAGATATTAAGTTTAAGTTAATTTTCCACCATTACTACGTGTGACTATCCACACATGTTTTCAAGAAAACATATTTGGTGCATGTGAAATTTGATATTGGACAACAATGATTTATACAAGTTTTGTTGACAACAACAATCGAGGCTTTATAACACTCATGGGGCAGCTATAGCACTAGGGCGATAGTTTCAATGTATTATTCCTGGCAATCTCTTCTTCCTGCCCACTCCATAGGTAGGGTTGTGTTGTGTGGTGGTGGGTAGAGAGTGACAGACTCAAACGTTCTCACTGGTGTCTGGACCAGTGGGTGACACCACATCACTCATTGTCTCATACACCACTGCTGGAGGTCGAGACTCACAAACATCACTGTGTGCGTAAGTATATGGAGCATAATAGTATGCATACTGAAATCCCCCAACCTTTATCTTCATGCATGTGTAAACATACTATACACCCACATGAAGATAGATTGAAACCTTAACAGTATGATGCCTGATAACAGAGCATGATTGAATGTTTTTCCAATTTTGGGGTACGCAATGTAAAATAAAACAGCACACTTACTTTGCCCCCTTTATGGAGTGCACAACAAACACCCTTCACTGCATCCGTCAGTGTTTGTCCCAGAGTATATAGAGTCTCTGGTTTGCTCTGTTTCCTCAAAGGTGATAGTAAAGAGAACATCAAGTATAATTATCTACCTTTAAAGTGTTTCCTCATCTTAACGACAATCATTAGAACAACTAGTGTCATAATCCTCGGCACGCATGTGCAGCGAGGGTTACAGTACTTGGTCTGTCAGTCTGTCCACGCGAGTTCTCACACTATAGGCTTCGAGGCGGCCAATGGGAGGTACCAACGGCTTTTGAACAACGAGAACGTAGATACTAATCACAGCAACACTACAACGTGCGCGTTTTGCGCCGAGGGTTTGACTTTAGTGCTTTTCATGTTACCTTCTAATCCCCTGTGCCGTTTTTTGCAGCAGAGAATTGATATGACAAGGGAGAGCGTGAATACTAAGACTGCCAGGAAGCCCAGTAGACCCAGGGGTGGTATAGAGAATGATGTGGGAGAGTTGAATAGTGCCCTGGGTGAGGGGAGTCTGCGGCGTGACAGCGGTGGAGTCTGTCTTTGAGTCAGATGACGGCAGTGGGTCGGTCGTGGGACCACTAATGGTATTGTCGGTCACAGTGGGTTGGGAAGTGGGGGAGATGTGGCTTGTTGTGGGTGTATGGCTTGGTATGATACTAGTCCGATTGAGTTTGACTGTGGAGGACTCTTCAGAGGGAAAAAGTATGTCAACAAAAGTGGCGGTGAGGCTCGGAAAGGGGGTGGGGGAGCTGGAGACGACGGGGAATGGGATGACGGATGCACATCGCACCTCGGAGCTCTTCAGGGCTTTTATGGGGCACGGGAATATGAAGTACCGGCTGGGTGGCTGGAGCTCAAACTCAGCACTCTGCGACAGCTCCAGAGTGTGGTCGTGGTGTCTCACTAGTCCCTGGCACCAGTAGAACCCCTCGTTCTCCGCACTAAGATCTACCACTACCATTACCACTGTGTAATCGCCCTCAAACTCGGAACGAGCGATGGTGACCTGAGAGCTGTTGCTGAGGACAACAGACTGGCTGCTGGTGCCGCCTGGCGGCCTGAAGTACCAGTGGATGTCCTCAACCCTGTCTCCCGACACGGCACACGTCAAGTTGAGGATTCCACGGATGTAGGGACTGCAGACAATGCCTTCGGGTGGCTGCAGTGTGTACATGTAGCTCTCGCACTCTGTTGCCCCTGTGGAATATTTAGCATAGTTATCTCAAGGATGATGTACAGTACAGCGGGAAGGAAAGAGAAAACAACAAACTTCTTTTGGTTTATAGCGACTGGAAGTCGAAAGCTGGTCTCCCCCATTCCTAGTACAGCTTGGAGGGAATAGGGAGAGCTCTCTTGTCCTGGAGTTGCAGCTCAGTGTGTATATATATTGCACTGGACATTCCCTTCATCTGGCATTTACACAAGGCTGGGGGCCAGCACAAGGAATGCTGGAACTGGAACCACAATGCAAATTTCGCTCTAGTAGCTAGTTGGTGATGTTCTTGCGGCTGTTTTTTCCCGAGGTTATTAACCCTCGGCGCGCATGGGTTACAGTAGTCGTTCTGTCCGTCTGTCTGTCTGTCGACGCGTATACAGGCTACGAGGCGGCCCATTAGCGATACCAGCGGATTCAGAACTACGGGAGGCAGAAAAATTTTAAGACGATTTTCCTGAAACAACTTCGTTCGAGAGATATTCCGTGAAAACAAGCGAAAAAGCCAAATCGCACTGGGCTCACCGCGACCTGATCCGCGCGCTCTATGTACCTTGGGGGCTCAGGAAGTCACAACGAATGGCATGTATCGACTCCCGCATGCTATCTACTACTGTATCTGGCCCGTGTCTGACTCTCCGCGGGCTACTAGCGGAAGACAAATAGCCGGCCCAGCCCATCAATTAGAAGTGTCGCGCATGCGCAGTTCGCCGAGTGTTTGCACTTTCATTTCTAAAGGGATCGGGCGACGATTGGGATGAAAGTCCCGACAGTTTCCGCTGGTGAAATCATATTAGTGGTTTCTAAGTACACTATCATCTGCTAGGTCATTACTGAATTCAAGCGTCTCTTCCCACTTTGCTATCACAACTATAGCCTACGGCGCGCAGACCTTGAGGCGCTTCCACGTACGTAACGCGGCGCCCAGCGGGAGGATAATATCGCCATGCACTGCGGGTTTCACTTAGAGCAAAGGGCTAAGTCTTAGGTTTAGACTCACCAGTGAGTGGTGCCTGGGCTGCAGCTAACAGCAGTAGTGGAGCAGCAATAATGGAAAAGATCATGACTTGGCGTTCTAGTCCCTGTAGAAGATCTACCGCCCTCTAGCTGCGGAACTCCGCCGAGCAAAAGTTTAGCATTCTAAAGGTAATAGAACTAGAGCCCTGAGACCAACAGTTTTCAGTAGAACATGCAGCAAACCACAGCTTCTTTTATAGCACTGCATCGTGCGCGCAGCTTGCTGCTGTGCGCGTAAATAAAGACCCACCACGCGCTTATCCTGTCTCACGGAGTCTGAAAGTGAAGGCGATGTCACTGGGAAGGAGTCTTTCTATGCTGGTCCTCATCAATGACGGCATACTTGACCAAGGGGATAAAGTCCTGACCTTTGATTACATGGTGAGTTGTGGGGAAGTGCACACTGACACGGGATTTGATAGTAGTCTGGCGTAGCCATCCGCGTGAAATAGGTGGCTACGCCAGACTAGGTTGATAGGGCATTGTGAGGCCGAGGGATACTTAGCGGTGTTCATTCACTTAGGGCGCGTGAGTGGCCAATCATAGCTCCACCTACCCATTGTTAGAGAAAAATAAACAATGTCCAGAATATCAGAAATTACAACTAGCTATATTGATATATTATGCTCAAGAGGCTAGACTAGATCATGTGCGATAGGATTGCGGTGGAGAGAGTTTTGTAAAAGGGTGCCTCTGATTATTTCCCAAAACCATGGGAGCATAGTGCCCCTTGAGAACGACCTTCGTGTTAGGTCAGATTAGTATCATTCCTAGACTCCACCTACTCGTTACGTGCAAAAGGGGTCTGCTAACTCTAGACCTGAATTGAGATCTCCAATCAGATCACATAATAGCTGACCGATGCCACATGCAGCATCCGTAGTCCACTGCGGGGCCTCGTATATGCATCACATAGAGGAACGGTTCGGATACTTGACAGGACCAGGTTTTGCATCATTGTACCAGGTGTCCCTTCCCTTTGCGGGTCGAGTGGCTGGGTACGGACTACATATCATATTATGTGGCGGGTAGGCTAAAGGGGTTGACAAACATGGTCCAGTCTCAGAGTAGTCTAATGTCAGTAGATGAGAGTCTTCAAAACTACCTCTCTCATAGTGTCTGGCTCCACTGACGTGGACCCCACACCAACTGATGGCTATAGAGGTGTTTTTCTTTCAGCTCTCTTTTTTCCCATCTAATGGATCTTTATGTCCACACACAGAAGAACAGTCATCATCAGAGCATATGTACCATGTTTTGGAGGGTCTCACTCCTGTCAAGTCGGCACCAGAGACACAGGAACAGGAGGTATGCACACAGTATGTTTCATGCAGCACCTGTACACAATCTTTCAAATGTACAATTTGTGAACTTAAATATAATATACCACCTTTCTTTTTACGTGCCTGCCAGAGTTCAGCGACAGATATTCCACTTTACTCTGTGGTAGACAAGAGTTAAAAGAAAAAGAAGGCAACTGTGTCGGCTGGTCCAGTTACAGATGTGAGCTAACTAGCTACGGAATGGCTAAAATGAGGGCATCTATAGTTGTAATTAGTTTGAAGCGTAAGGTCCATATTGCCTACTTCATTCTCCTATTTGTGTGTAACTTGTTTTTCTCGAACAACGTGGCTACAAACCCTTGATTATGATGCTGTGGTGGATTAGAGTAGAATAAAACAAGCAAAGCTTCTGCATTGTATCTTTTACATTCAAAAGTAGTACGTGTTTCTTTCAACATATGTACATATGACAGTCGACATAAACCAGCAGCTGCTACATTAATTTCCTGCTCCATTGTGTGTGTGTGTGTTTGTGATTGGGGAAAGTAGAGAGAGAGGTAAAGTGTAGGCAGGACTAGAGCTAACGAGAGAGGGCGGGCGGCTTTTGTCAGCGTCACCGCATGCAGCCGTCCAGGTGTCAAAATGTACATGTATATCTATGCACAAGTCCAGCATGCCCACACAGATGCAGTGCCATCAGGCTGTTAGCTACTTATACTGGTCATCAGGGGAGTTCCCTATCCCTCATCGTGTCAATTATACTGGTCATCAGGGGAGTTCCCTATCCCTCATCGTGTCAAACATGTTTCGGCCTCTTTAAACTCCCGACATGAGAAACACTCCGGAAAGGGCGAGGCGAGGCCACTCCACCCGAATTGGAGTCCTTATTAGTTACGTCACGTGACATGATTACATAGTATTGGAGTTCTAGGGGTACATACATGCAACAGCTAATGATTTTTTGCTACACCACAGAGGCTATCTACATAACTAGGTCTGCTATCAATTACATGTATTATGTATTGTTGAACATACATTCTCTTTCACTCTCTGTTCCCCGTCTCTTCTCCCTCTTTCTCTCTCACTGCTTGATACAACTGACTGAACTATGGCATGGTGGGTAGGCTGTTATATGCACTGTGTTGGATGTTATGTCTATGGTGATGTCATAGCTACTTCCTGGAATACTACAGTGTACATACTTATAGTTGTTGACGTTAGGGAGAGAGAGAGAGAGAGAGGGAGGGAGAGAGAGTGGAGAGAGAGAGAGAGAGAGTGTGTGTGTGTGTGAACAAAAAAACCCACAGTGGTGGGGGTAGGGCCCCCACCACTGTGGGGTCCCACCCCCCACATGTGTGTCTCTTTATCGCTCGTTTTCAACAGTGAGTTGCTAGATTTCACATTTTTATTTAGAATTAAGACCATACGGATTTTTTGTGCGTAATGTAGCAATCCAAAATTCTTCTAGTTTTCGTAGATCTTGTAAGGAGGAGTTCGGCGGGGAAGGTGTGTCTATAGGTTGTACTTGTAGATGTGTAACATTATGGTTTGGTAGATGGAAATGTTTGTGAATATATGTAGATTTCTTATTGAAGACACAGGATCTGTGGTGATTGATTCTTGTGTTTAGTTGGAGAGTCGTGCTACCAACATATTGTTTCTTGCACTTCGTGCAGGAGATTAGATAGACAATATTTTTTGACTGGCAAGAGAACTGGTGACGGATTATATACATATTTGGTTTTGTTCAGGGCATAGTTTGACTTGAAAGTAGAAGAGCAGTTAAGGTGTGTTCGGCAGGTGGCACATCTAGGGTGTCTGCATGTTTTGGTTACATTTTGGAGTGACTTTAATTTCGGTAGCATAGCAGTGACGGTATGCACGCTAGGTGTAGTGGGTTCTAGGGTTAGTATTAGGTCTACGAGTTGATCATCTGAGAGCTGGAGTTTTGCTCTGATAAGCTTATTTTGAAGGGTGGGTGGTCTGAGTGGGACAAATCTCGGAGATAGGAAATGTATTGTCCGATACTCTTGAAGGAGCAGTTGCTTTAGTTGATGGAATTGGGGAGGTGCGACACATTTGTAGACAGGAGGTTTTGGCTGGAGTTGCTGGGGTCTATTTTGTTTCAGGTACTTTTGCCTGTCTGCGTACTGGAGTGTTGTAGTGACCTTAGTTATGGATATCCTCGGCTCATCAGTCGTTTCTGGAAGGCATAGACAGTTGCTGCATAGGATTCTTGGGTGCTCTTTGTCCTGATATAGCGAATACACTCTCCTCTGATTAGGGCTTTGAAGACTTTTTTTGGGTGGTTTGATGTGAAGTGAAGGTACTGGTACAAGTTCAACTGTTTTTAGAAGGTCTTCGTGTCCAGAATGTTGGTGATTTGAAATGATTGGCTTTTGTAAACTGTGAGGTCAAGAAAGTCAATGGAGGAAGTTGACTGTTCATTAGTGAATCGAAGATTGGGATGAAATGTGTTTAGATTGTTAAGAAACAAATCCAGTTGTTTAGGTGTGCCAGTCCAGATAATGAAAATATCATCGATATAGCGGGTGAGAAAGTGCGGCTTGATATCCTGTGTTTGTATTTGTTTGTGTTTGTGTTGTAGAATCAAATAAGCAAAGCTTCTGCATTGTATCTTTACATTCAAAAGTAGTCCATGGCTACTGCACGTGTTTCATTGCTTTCAACATATGTACATATGACAGTCGACATAAACCGGCAGCTGCTACATTAATTTCCTGCTCCATTGTGTGTGTGTGTGTGTGTGTGTGTGTGTATGTATAATGTGTACAGCAGGAGGAGGAAAGAGAAGAGGATAAGCATGCCAGACAAACACGACACTTAATGTAAGGTGAGAGTCTTCCACGTCATTGAGAACTTTCGGTATATAGTAATCCAAGTCACAAGGTATCACTTTGTTCATAATCAACTGAATATCATCCGCTCCATTTTTAATCGATTGTAATGACGGTAGGTGACCTGGGGTGGGACTGGTGGCTATCCTACAAGGTTAGGTGAGTTAATTGCGGATTACCCAAGGATTCAGCCGGTGGCTGGGCGTATATACGATATCTCTCGAAATGGCTGAAGGTATACAGGGCATAATCTTTTGTTTAATTAAACTTTTACGAAAGCAAAAACACAGCCGCTGCCGTGGACGAGACGCTGAAACCAGACGATGCAGGGGATATAGCTGAAGAGTTGAATGATGCACAGACTCAGTCGTTTTCGCTGGGTCTTAAGCTGAAGCTGCCGCTATCTGAAGTTGAGGCCATTCATTCACAATACAGGAGTTCGCGCGATTGCCTTCTTCACGTTATTATCGAGTTTCTGAGGCAAGTTGAGCCCAGACCGACATGGAGGGTCATTGTAGAAGCTTTCAGTAGTCGTTTAGTAAACCAACCTGCACTAGCAAGGAGAGTGGAAGCAACTCATTTCACTGATCCTACCGCAACACGGTGGTGTGGTACCTAGGAACACTGGTATGTCACCTTTAGCTCCAGTCATATTGTCTGATTGGTGTAGTCGTAACTCTCCATGTCATCTCAGCCACAGAGTCAGCGACCAACACTACTGCTGGTGATTATGATGAGGTCAAGGTTGACAATAAGCTGACACCAGAAGATGCACAGGATGTAGCGCAAGTGTTGCAACCTGCACAAGATGTGACATATCTACTTGGAATGAAACTGTTGACTGACATGAATGCTGTTACCATCATCCATAACAAATATTTGGAAGAAAAGGATCGCCTGCTACAAGTTATTAAAGAATTTATTAAACAAAGAGAGCCGAAACCGACATGGAGGGTTATTGTTAAAGTTCTTAAGGATGTGGGTCATCATGACCTAGCTAAAAATGTGGAAGAAGCTCATTGCGGTACCACTAGACAAAAGCCACTGTCAGGTATTATCTGGTTCACTTTTTAGTGCCATGCAATATTATTA